GAAGGAAGGAAGGAAGGAAGGAAGGAAGGAAGGAAGGAAGGAAGGAAAGAAAGAAAAGAGAGAAAGAGACAGTGTTTCTCAATTTCAGCCTCTGTAGGATATCAATTCCCAGAGTTCCTTAGTCGGTCAATATCGCCCAGTCAATATTGTCTAATACAAGACGTCTGGGGCATCTCAGTTAGTACAGTATAATTACTCCTCCAGTGGAAATGAGAGGGTGCAAATTAGAACAAGATGCCAAGAGAAAGTGGCTGGTTTAAGGCCACCCAGAGAGTTTGCTTGTTCCAAAATGAGGGAGCCTCAGAACTAAATATATCTCGGCTCCTGTTTATCTACTACTCTGGACGGCATATATGGCTCAAGGTTCTTTCTACCTGTTGTTTTCATATCTTTCAGTTAAAGGATTTTAATTATCTGGCTGGCAGGCGATTATATGAGCTTCTCAGGGACAAGCCGGAACATCTAAAGTTCTATTAAAAAAGATTTTATTTTTTATTTTTTTGGAGCAAAATCTTGGCTCATTAATTTAGAGCGCTTTCTGGCAAATGCTAGGTGGTAGACACGAGGATTTAATAAAAATTTACCGAGGAGCGAAGGAGTAAATATCATACCTAATTGAGTATAAAACAACCGAATATTTCATACGGGAGAAAATGGAACGATGCCCGGCAAATGTAATTGGTGGGAAGGGGGAAAAAAAATACAAGGCTATAAAATGGGAGGGGGAGAAGGAGGGAGGCGTTTTCTAAGTTTCACACCAGAACAAAGGTCAGGATGATCTCGTGTTTTGGATGACGACGGAAGACTCGGAGAATTTGAAAGCAAGAGCGGACCTACGGAAAGCCGCAAAGAACTAACGATCATGGCCCCATTGGAGCCTGAGTCCGTGGAGGAGGAGGAGGAGGAGCTGGGGCTGATGGAGGTCGAGGGGGCGGCCTTGTTGGCTTCAGAGGAACGCGGGAAGGAGCAGGATAAGGCAGTGCTGAGTCCCTCGTGCTCGGGATGGCTTGCCAGCAGGGAAGAACGGGGATAGGATGACCAAGAGAAGGCGTAAGAGAGGGCAGGCAGTAGGGATGAGGAGCGACGGAGCTCAGGCAACAAGCAAGGAGCTTGATCTCCGAGCACGGAGAGTAGAGAGAAGGCAAGAACAGCGCAGACTGAGCCAACTACTCGGGAGGAGAGTGCCCCACCCCTCTTCACAAGGCACACCTGGGGACTGAGACTTAAGGAGACGCTATGGGGAGGGGCGCTTGATGGGAACAAGCGCTGAATTTGTGGACTTTTGTGTGACGCTGCTGACATCTGAAGTTTGCTGGATTTCTTGCCTTGTTCCTTTGCTCCGTAATAGTTTGTGTGTGTGTGTGTAAAACCTGAGACAGGTAGAAAAAGTTGGCAGGCAAGTTGGTAGGTAGGTGGTAGATATATATAGATTTTTTAGTTCTGCCAATATTGGCAATATTGTACTATGTATTCGTTATTCAGAGGACATATGTTGGCTCTCATCTGAATTTGCTATTAGAAGGCGTGAAGATGCTGATAGAGAACGTCTTGCAAGCGGGTGTTCTAGCTGTGTTGAGCTGAAGAGACGATGAAAATGGGAATTGTGGGGGGGAAAAAATTCGAATGAATGCTCCGAAACCCTCTGTCGAACACTGCAACCTTCTGGAATCTGAGAAGGGGGTTGTAACTCCTGGGTTTTTTTGATGGGCTGCTCATCCCCGATTCCAGGCCCAGATCAAAACCGGAAGCCGATTTGGAAGAGTAGGAGCTCCCATCTTTAAACAAGGCTATTTTATTTATTTATTTATTTTTTAAATTTTAAAACAAACTTTATTGAACACAAAAAATTAAAATATACAAATATACAAGCTCAAAAGACAAAGATCCATACAGACAAACGTCACAATGATCTCTGCGCTAAAACTAATTAAACAAGGTTGTTTCAGAGCCACCCAATCGCGGGTCAGAAATTCAAGAGGGTTCATGGTATTTAATCGCCGAGGTAGGCAGGAACGCTATCTTGCACAAACTCGCCCAAATGCAAAATAATTTTTTCTCCGGCCGCCTTCCATTCTGGGTAGAAAGCTGCAGAGCGGAGAGAGGCATTTAAGAATCCTTTCGTGTGTGTGTGTGTGTGTGCTTGCCAGGAATGTACAAATACCCTGGCATTAAGCAATTTATTCCCTTCATAAATATGCAGACCTGGGGAAGGGGAAGATGGCCTTTGCGGAGGGCTGCGCGTGGCTGGCAGGGCTCGGCCCTACTTGGTAATTAAAAGAAAGGCCTTTTCTTCCCGCTTTCCAGGTTGGTCTAATGAGGATCCAAATCCATTAGCCTCAGTTTGGGGAGGCACAAATCAATTTCGATGTCCTTTCGGGATGCAGGTGAAGCTGACCCTGCGCGAACCTCTTTGCTTTAAGGGGTTTTGATGTAGTGTCCAATCTTTACTGTAAGCCTGATCCATTTTACCTCAGCCTCGGAGGATTTTCCCTCAGCTGGTGAGGAAAAGCACTTATTAATCAGCCAACTTTTCGCGTCCCTTTCTTAGTGACTTGTAACAACTGAAAGTCTGGTGTAAATTTACAAATTTGGAGCAGTTTAATAAGGATGAGGCACGAGGGGCCATTTTAAAAGCCGAGATACTTCCACTTTAAAAGGTAAACCGGTTTATTGAGGGGTATGTTGTCTTGGCCAGGAACCTATTTCAACTGACTTTAATGGGAAAGGGTCAAGTACGGCAATTTTACGACCAGTGGACTTCAACTCCCAAAATTTCTGATCCCTTTTATTCGGGGTGAAATCAGGGCAGCTGAATGGAGCTGAGCGTTAGCTGTCCGGATGCCCTTCCTGACACTGCAAAATCCCCATCCCCTTCCCTAACCTGCTTTCCAGCACTAACCTGCTTTCCAGCTCCGTTCTCCTGTGCAGGGCAACCAAAGAAGACCCAGCCAATCAGATGTGGGCATGGTGTTCTGTGGTCATGGCTTGGTGGCTTGGTGAGCGTGGTTTGGTGGGCGCGGCAGGGAATACTGCAAAATCCCCATTTCCTCCTCCACCCCGCTAACCTGCTTTCCAGCTCCGTTCTCCTGTGCAGAGCAACCAAAGAAGACCCAGCCGATCAGCTGGGACTCAATGGGAGGCAGGGAATAGATGGGGATGGGGCCAGTCAGAGGTGGGATTGGCCGGTTCTCTGAACTACTCAAAATTTATGCTACCGGTTCTCTAGAACTGGTCAGGACCTGCTGAATACCAGTTCTGGATTGCAGCAGATATTTTCTCCTTGCGCCCTGATGGAGAAACATCTGCTGCTGCCTAGGATTGAACTCTCAACCTTCAGAGCAGGAGGTGAGCGTCTTTACCTCGAGGTTACTGCGCCGCTCGTGTGTGTGTGTGTGTGCCACAAATAATGAATGATAATATAAACTTTGTTTTCTGAACTTGTCTTGCCTGGCTAGGTTCCCATAAGGAAAAAAAAGCATCTCAGAATTATATCTTTTGTTCTAGTACGGCTTCCATATTGACCATCTATTCTCCTCTGTGAACTTCTGAACTGAAGGTATGCTTTGTGCATTCAGATCAAAACAAAAATTTAGAAGTGTTTGCTTCTAAGGTGTCCCCAAAACTTTCAAGTTGACAAAGGTGAGTGCAGGTGAGGATTAGCAGTCCCAAGTGGAGGAATGGGGCTGCTAGCAGGTAGAGGAACTGGCTATGGGGGAGTCAGGCAGACTAATACTCATAATATGTGCCAGGAAGCAGGAAGAATCAAGCGTGAACAATGGGGAGATTGAGGGCAAAAACAACTACCGTACCATTCAAAGTACACCAACGGTATGGCAACCTTGGCCCAACCCAGCCCAACCTCCTTCCCCTGGCATCTCTTAAGCTCCCTGTTGCATAAACGGGGAGAGCTAGTCAATTTTTTTGTGCCACGCTTCCTGATTTGATTGAGCTGATGCCAGTCCAATTCTCGCTATGCCTTCAAGATTTAAGCTACGTAGGGATCCCTCTCGTTCTTGACGCCGAATAATTCAGCAGCCGAAAGGGAAGCGGCGGATGTTACCTACTGTCTCATACAAACACGGTGGAGCAGTTAGAGGTGGTCAGCAGGGAAAGGGGTTTTCCAAGAAATTAAGGATTAGGGATGGCAAGGTGGTTATCAGCCCGTTGAAGTAGGTTAGGTCAGGAAAAAGACACCCCATGGATTACTGGAGCTCTACTGTTAAAGGGCACGATAAGAGTTTTGAGAACATGACTGAGCTTTCTTCTTATTCCAGCTTTCTCCAAATTTGAAGCACTTCTGAAAATTGTTCACAAACTTTTAACCCTCTTGAAAACACCCTTATGGAGGGAGGGAGCCAGAACAAAACAGAAACAGCCTCTAGGTCAGAGGTCTCCAAACTTGGTGACTTTTAAGACTTGGGGACTTCAATTCCCAGATTCCCCAGCATGGCTGGCTGGGGAACTCTGGGAGTTGAAGTCCGCAAGTGTCAAAGTTGCCAAGTTTGGAGATCTCCGCCTTACGTACCCAAGAGAATCAAGGTGGAGCAATGTTGAGTTTCTTTCTTACCCCATCTTCCTTCACAAGGCTGAATGAATGTTTTCCTATCTGTGCATTTTTTCCCCCCCTTCGGGATTAGTTTTCTCTTCCTTTACAACAAATATTTTAAAAGATTTAGGGAGAGAGATGATTCTCTGTTTTCCATCCAGTGAAATTGAAACGATAGTGGCTCCTTTCCTGGTGTATATACACTAGAAACATCTGCCACATGTTTCTCCTTCAAAATATCCAAAACATATTTTTTTTTAAAAAAAACATCAATTGAAATGCTTCGGCAGTTTTCACGTCCTCTGGGGACATCTGTGCCAATTGCTGCACACAGTTAATACATTACAAACCACAGTTAAGAACTGGCGCGGGTGCAATTGTGGAAAGGGACTGCTGTAGGAGTTTAATGCCTCCGGTTTCCAAGAGCCTGTTTTAACAATTCTTTACCGACTCGGCTGGAAAACACCCCCAGCTGCATTGCAGGGCAGTTTTAGGATTATGGAAGCATCCTGGCCTCATTTCTTGGTGCAAGGCCCAACACTCCCGCATATCTTTTTGCAAACTGAGGCCTTGTTGGGGGGAAGGGTGTATGTGTGTGTGTGTGTGTGTGTGTGTGTAAACCACAACATGAGCATGCCTCTGAGAGCCAAGTTTCACCTCCAGAGATCTCTGTACCCAGATGCAAACATCTCAATGCAAACCAGAGGTGGTATTCAGCTGGTTCTGACCAGTTCTGGAGAACCGGTAGCGGAGATTTTGAGTAGTTTGGAGAACCGGCAAATATCACCTCTGACGGGCCCTGCCCGCATCTATTTTTTGCCTACCATTGAGTCCCAGGTGATTGGCTAGGTCTTCTTTGGTTGCCCTGCACAGGAGAATGGAGCTGGGAAGCAGGTTAGTGGGGTGGGGAGGGAAGGGGGATTTTGCAGTATCCTTCCCCTGCCACGCTCACCAAGCCATGCCACACCCATGAAGCCACGCCACACCCACCAAGCCACACCCACAGAACCAGTACTAAAAAATTTTTGAATCCCACCACTGATGCAAACTGATGCAAAGAATTTATACATGAGCCAGCAGTTTGCAGCAGCAGCCAAAAAAAAAAAAAAAACCCTAAAAAAAACCCCATAAACGGAATCAGAGAATCAAAATTACACGAAGTATTTAGTAGCACTTTACAAAACCTTCATAAGACCACACCTGGGACACTGCATCCAGTTTTGGTCACCACATTACAAACAAGAATTTGAGACTTTGGGAAAAGTGCGGAGAAGAGCAATTAGGATGCTTTAAAGTCCTGGAGACTAAAACATACGAA